ACAATTGATGTCTGAATTGCTTTTAGCTGCTTTGATTTCAGGTTCCTGGTATTGTGCATGCTCGCTCACTGTCAAAACTTGAAACGCCTGAGTAGCCATCGCTATGTTATTTTAACATGACAAGCGTCAAAGGCAACAAAGCGGCCAAGCTCAAGAGGTTGTTGACATAGTAATGACGTAAAATAGCACTGAGAATTGGCTTACAGAATTTCATTAGGTGGAAGGAAAGGGGGTGAAAGAAAAGCACGTGATTGGTTGACGTTTCAACGCGTCTTTGGAGCGCTGAAAAAAGGTGAGACCGGCTGAAATTTGACTTGTAGCGCATCACACCCATCATAAAATGCTAACTGCAAAATTGTTCAACAATATACCGTAGAGAATCAGTATGTAGTATGGAATTAGGACACAGTCAGTTAGGTCAGTTATGGAGGATTATAGGAGGTAAATGCCATAATGTCATTCATTTTATACATACAACTCAAGTACAACTTCAAATACATCACGTCACATTTGACTCTGGACACTGATGTAGCAGCCAGTTTTACTTGTCATTGCAGGGTAAACACAGGTGTTATTAACAACATTAATTATGTCCCTGTTCAATTTAGGTGGGCCACTGTGCCTGTTGGCTCACTGGAATAGCTGTGACACACTGAATAAAATGGGACCGTAATTCCTTTTATCAATTACACCTGTGTGTTTAACCTGCATGTCAGAATGGCCGCTGTGAAAGGGGCCTATTGGATGGAAATCATCAATCAACGCTCACTATTTACAGCTTATTTCATAGAATAAAGAAGCTGCATGAATAACATGCCTTTCCTTGAAAAATGAATAACTGACCTTAACTACCATCCCTAACAGTTTTAATATGCAGCACTGCAGTAGACATATAATATCAGACAGTAATAACTCAGATCATAATATTTTTGTAATTGTATGGTGTTGTTTACTTCAATTTTCAAAAGATGCTGCAGCACAAAAATAGTATTAAAAGTCAAGGGGAGGGGTGACTGCTTTGGTAATACACTGTATATTTTCTCCGCCTGCACGGATACACCGGTTGTTTTCTCAGACAGCCCTGATCCTCAGCGCTGAGGGATGAACCAGCTACTGATGATGCTACAGGTGAAGGCAGGAGTCAGGAACACCATCTATGTTCTTTGAATGCAGGAGTCACAAGCTTTGACCTTGTATAATCCTCCACATCATCTCAATTCACTATCTGCTCACTGGCTTGAATTGAAGAAAGACAAGACCGAAAACCTATTGAGCTATTTTGTGAGCAAGAGCAATCCTTTTGTTTTTGTTTTTTTGAATTTTATTCATTTTATTTTCCTTGTACAGCTCTCTCTGTTTCTTCTGGCTAAAGCCAAGAAACTGTATCAGCAGATACAGCTCGCAGACGCTCGGCCTCGTAGTATACGAGCAGAAACCAATTTCGGCAGGCAGCAATGAAAAAAAAAAAAAAAAAGAATCAGGCCAGTTCTCTGGGGAGAGATAGTGGGGCACAATGTAAACTTCCCTGGCAAGTCATCCCTGGTGGATTGAACAGTAAAAAGAAGCTCTAATGCTCAGTCCAATACAAGATAAACTGAGTGGACGGTTTGCCTTACCTGATTAAGTGAATCACATTACAGATTATGTAAAGACTGCAAAGTACAATACATCACTCTTCATGCACTTGAAGAATTATTCGAGTGATAAGATTATTGGGCTTGGTTTACTGTATGTGGGAAACTACACTGTTTTTAATGTGATTAATGTCCTTTGTGTTACATGCAGGCCACGAGGAGACAGATTGTTTTGTGTTTTTAGCTCATAGAGATCCTTGAAAAACTATACATACTAAAATTAACATTTTGTAAACCATTTTCATCCTTCATCTTGCCGAGAGTTAGATGATACCACTCTCATGTTTGTAAGGTAAATATGAGGCTGCAGCAAGCAGCCGGTTAGCCTAGCACAAAGACTGGAAACAGGGGGAAACAGCTAGCCTGGCTCTGTGGCAACAACACAGTGACAACAAGAGGAAGACGTTACGGAACTCAGCCAAGAAATAGTCCACCACATTTTTTCGAGATTAAACAAACAGGATGTTAATTTGTGAGCTCTAGATTTGATAGGATAGAGCCAAGCTAAAAGTTTCCCCCTATTTACAGTCTTCACGCTAAGCTAAGCTAATTGGTTGCAGGCAATATCATCATATGTGCAGTACAAACATTAGAGTGAGCCCAATGTTCTTGTCTAAATCACGGCAAGAACAGACTGACGCTTTGTTTCTTTAATTTTTCAAATTCTTTTTTTTCTTTCAGTTTTAAAAAGGCGTATGGGAACATTACGTCATTCTCAAGGTCCTCTTATTCCTGGTTTTAAAACACTGCATTTCAAAGCCTGGCGAAAGCTGGAATTTGAATTATCATACCAATCGTCTCTCTGCCTCACAGGTTTTAGAGTCACAGCTGTCGATGCTGCAGGACAGCAGCAAAGGTCACTTGTTTCTCTAATTAATTAATTTACTCTGTGCGGGCCTCTTTGGTTTCACCCTTTATGCATTTCTGAAGACAGAATGGAGCTTTGTTTACTTACCAAACCATATTGCTCTATGTATGCGATGCAGATCAGGGAAAATATAAATGTCATTTGGATATTTCAGACACATTTGTCTTCAGTATTTTTCATATGTTGACTGTGAGACAACAATATATAACAGTGAACTTAATTCACATTGGCAGCGTGCCAGGAAAAGTTAGGATACGCACTGAAAAAAAAAAAAGAGAATGGTTTCCCTCGATAACAATGGCACACTTTATTGCTCTTTAGCTCACAATGTTTTTCTGTGCAGCTTGTGGTATTGCTGCAGTATCCTGTTATGGGGAACAATCCAATTCCTCTGACACAGTTACAGATCAGCCCGAGAATAACAATCAGCAAATATATCATTCAAGCAAAAAGAGCGAGCAGCCACTTCTGTTTATAAATACAATCCAAAAAAAGAGCATATAGCTGTATCATAAAAAGTCAGTTCAGTCAATGAGCCAATATTACACAGAATTACAGACATTCAGCTACAAGATGCTTTCAGAGTACTTTTATATCTGATCTGCTGCTGGGGCATGAATATTTCATTTCGGTAGTCAGCAGGATTGCAGTGGCATATTTCATGTTTCCATGCAAACCCTTGCTCAGAGTAATGATCATTTGCATTTGAAGAATAAGTAATATCTCACACTCTCTCCCAAACTCTCCGCATCGCTCATATTGTTAGACTGTCAACAACCGCCACGCCAAAGTGAACAAACAAACAAATGGATAAGTGAGTGCACACCACTGATTGTCGGTGTGTAGCATGTGTTCACGTGTCCATCTGCGTGTGTGTGCGTGTGTCTGCATGTGTGTGTACGTGTGTGTGCATGCGCGTGTGTCTCTGGTGCCCTGCCAGAGTCTGAGCCCATTCTGCTGAGTGGGCAGATTCTCTGGCGGAGTGTCCCATCGGAGTGACAAGTGCATTTAGAAACAGCCTGATGGAGTCATTAACGGCAGCGCTGCTCATTAGCAACACACGCACACATTCACTCACACACACACACACACACACACACACACACAACCCCTCAGTAGCAATAGCATCATTGTCCGGTCATTACACAGACAATGGATAAATCTATAAAAGCTGGACGAAACAGCACATTTATAGAAAGCCCTGATATGGAACATAATATCATTTAAGAAGCAGGCTGACACATCTATTTGTGAAAGCAAGCAATCACACACACACACACACACACATGCACACACACACACGCAAGCACAAGCAAACTGTATTGATTACTGGAATAACAACAAAGCATCCATTATTGATCCTCTTGTCCTTTTTTGTGTATGAGATTCAAGCAATATCGAGTAATCAAGGGCATTACAGCATCGCATAGAAACACACTACAGCTTCTCTTCCTGGAAGATCAGAAAACAGTCCAGGACTCATCAATAAACCACTCTTTTCTGCAAAAAAAAAAAGGCTCATGTTTTCAAGCCTATAGCAGTTTCACTTCCACAAAGGCTTTAGGCATAAAATGATTATGAAAAATGAATTAATCGAGGATTAAAAAGCTACATTTCTGGCTTAAATCAGCAGGATACATACATATAATCTGACAAGACATGATGGTATTTCATGTTTGCTAAGCTACATTATACCATTATAATCAGTATTAGGCATTACATCACAGCCATGTGAGAGAGAGGCAAATAACTGGGAAGCAGCTTCAAGGGGAACATTATGTTCTTTCTGATTATTAGGCTCAAATGCCAGAGTTTCCTATTTGCATTGGATGAATCATCCACAGAGACATCCAGCTTTATGTTGGGCCTGATTCATAGGAAATGCTGACGTGAGACTCAAAGAGCCCGGTGCAGGAATCAAACAATCACCAACACTTAATGGCACCGTATACATGATGGATACGCCAGACAACCATTCAGACACAAACAGCAATGATCCTTGAAGCCAGAGATACACAGCCAATTACGATCTGAACTGATGTATAAGACAGCGTCGGAGGAGCCGTAGACTGCAGTTTGATGTGACTCAATTATTTAAAAACATTACCAGCTGAATTATGTGATTTTTGCAATGCTGCCTTTGTTGTTGCCGCACTCTAAAAAGAGCTGTTATACTGTAGGATAATAATGCGTTGGCAAACACGCTGCCATTACCTCTATCCTGCCTCTATTAGCGTGATTCTCAGCTCATTATATCGGGAGGAATTCCAACTACACACTGATGAATTACTGCAGTCAAGATAACATTTGTTAAACCAACCAAAGGACAATAAACATAAGCTGATTTATGGTGGAAACGGGACACAAATACAGAAACATTACAGCAGCCCAGAGAAATTGAAAAGTCTGCAGTAACCTTTTGGAATGAAGAAATGCAACAACAACAAAAAATAACCTCAAAAACGGCAAATGAAATTGAGGTTTCTGCTGACGCTCACCAAGCTGTGCCCTCTCCCGTTGGACATCCTTGAAGTTGAGTCCGCTGGTCAGGGTGCTCTCCCGGTAGCGGTGGAGGGCCTCCCGCCTCCCGTTGGTCCCCAGCTCCCGAAGCACAGAGGGTTTGAGAGGCTCGGCCTTCAGACAGTGGGTCCATCCTGAGAAGTCTGGTACCGTCCACTTCACCAAGTCCTCCAGCCGCACAATCACCTTCTCAGACACTGCAATTACCTCGTGCTGAAAGGAAATGGGGAAGAATCCCAATTACAATCAGCGCATATAGGGAGTTCAATGCAACTATGTCAAGGTCATGGATTATTTAATTTTGCCACAATTTTACGACTCTGTTTGAAGCAGTTTTGTTGCACAGACACGTAAATATTTCAAAAACAGCACATCGGCATGAAATCTATTTCGCTCTGTAAATAATTGCACAAACAATTTGGGATTAAAAGAATACACTTTTGAACTTTCTCTACTATATTAGTGCCAACATGCCATTTTGAGCACACATTTCTATATTTGTCCATTTCTTTTCAGCATTTTTTAAACTCACAAAGTGTCCCTGACATTTTCAGTTCCATAAATCCCGCGCTTTAACAAATAAACAGTGAATTTTTACATTAGACTTGACCCTTTGTTACTTAAAAATATTGCTTTCAAATGATTTGTACCTTTTCTCTCATTATAAACAACTTTTGGATACTTTCTTAGTATTTTAAAATATACCAAGTCTCTGAATTTTAGAGCCTTTAATTCAATAAACAATGGGTTAGGTGATGTGTAATGAGTAGTTTTGCTTACAATTATAGCTCTGCTTTGAAGTACAAAACATGTATTTGTCTTATGTATGTTTCTCCATACTTCCAATGAGTACGTAACATTGGGGAAAGAAGTATGCAGAGCCTTTCCTTAACTAGACGTAGAAATACCAGTGTCTAAAAATACCTCCTCTGAATTTAAAATAGAAGTCATTATGAAGAATGGCTCACAAGTGTTATTTTAGTATATTATATTGTTCTTTTTTTGTCACTAAAGAATACATTTTAATGTATCAGAGTTTGTCAATGTGGAATACATTTTTGATACTTAACTTTATATATACTACTGGTTAGAGTAATAGTATACTACTGCATCATACCATATTGTTTCATGTAAAATCTTAATCAGCAAAGTAGGAACTATAAGTGTCAAAAATGCAGTGTCGTAAATAGTACATTAGTTCCCTCTAAAATGCAGAAGTAGAACAAGTATATAGTTGAAAAAATACACAAGTACATTTCTTGAGTAAATGTACTTTGTTACATTCCACCACTGGCAAGTAATGTGGAAGTATAAAATGAACACAATCAGGGTGAAAATAACAGGATTAAAATCAGAAGCTAGTAGAAGTAACTGGACGAACAACAGGACGTCCTTATTTATCAACTAAATTGATGCGTAAGTCGAGTAGCATTACGGCTGTGGATGCACATTAATGTAAGTAAATTACTGCACCATGAATATGGATGATGCGGATGATTGCTGAATTGAATTTATGCCAGCAGTTAAATCAATGTCAACGGGGACGTAGATGTTTTTAGACTTTTTGATTAGCATTTAGGAAGTCAGGCTGCCGATGTTCGCCATGAATGTTGAGATTTTTATGCTTTTAACACAGCGGCTGTGATTACACCTTGACAGTGTAGAGGAGCAGAGGAAATGTAATTTGTTAGAGTGAGAGTGTAATGATTGAACAGGAGAAAGCTGTGAGCCACTGGTCTCCCTGACACACAATAAAACGAATATGACACTGTCAGAAAACTATAAATGGAAATCTATAGCAGTGATGTGCATAGCTGACACTGAGGTAAGCCTAATATAACTGTGGTGCGTTTGTGTACATACTTTATTCTGTTCAGCTGGCTTACTTAATAAGATTTGCTCTCAGTATGTGCTTCAACCTTCTTCTTTTTTTAAGGTTGATTCAACCCCATCTAATAACTCTCATACTTGAAGAACTACAAGACCGATGGAGAAGCATGGAAGCGGAGATGCTTAAATGTGTTTCCATTTGAAGGACTAATGGCTGAAGTGCTTGTTACCGACAGAGTGGAGTAGTGTGCTGGAAGATGGCTATTACAGAAACAGGGAAATCTGGAGGACAGATGTGTACAGGCAGAAATGCAGACACTCCAAGTAGGTCTCTGATGTTTACCTTGGTTATCTCCAATTTACCACGCATCTGTCTGCCTGTACACATTTCCCCTCAAAGAGCCTGTATATTACTGTCATTAAAATAATATTCATTTACTCATTATTGACATGTTTAATCACCGTATGCATGAATGAGGAGAGGGGGAACGCAGTAAAAGCTAAACCTTTACGATCTAATGAATCCAAACTCGGCAGTAAATCCTTCCAATGTGAAGCTTAAAATGTCAAGTTTTTCTGGTCTTTTGGCATTTTAAGCTGCGTTCCCCGTGTTTTGAAAAGTTATTTCAAAGTGTTCCTTTCATTTTGTCGCCATATTATAAAAACAAACACATGAACACATGACTTTTCAGCGTTTCCGATTCTCTCTGAGGGCTCTGTCTATACAATTACCCATATTCAGTTCTCACATCATCTGCAACTACAGGCATATCAAATCCCAACCAGTTGGAGACAGCATTTCCTTATAAAGGAAAAGCCTGCGAGGGATAGCTTGATATAGCTGTGCCTCCCTCACTAAGTAGAAACATCAAACATGGGTTTTCGGTCTTCTTATAATGAGCTGTCTTCAGCTGTCAAGTGGTGGCGGGTGGTTGTAACTGGCTTTCCATGCAATGAAAAACTGACTGCTGTTTCTACCTTCAGAAAAGCAGGCCATTTGAATAATGTAGAGCAACAGTAAATAGCATTCAGCCCGCAGCCAATAAGCACATTGTACTGTATCTCTACAGAATGTGCCACTGTAGTTTGATGCAAACTACTGACGGCACATATAGAGAAACATAACCATGAAATATCTCAGTTGAGTCCATTCGAAACAAAAATAATGTACTGAATGTTTTGCGGCTGATGTATGAGTCAAACAGCAGTACTTCCAAGTAATTCAATAGCACACCAGAGCATACACACAGCAACAGCAAACCGTAAAAACACACAGCCATTCCCTCCATATCAATCAGCTGAATGACATGCTGCCTTGTGCGAGTGTCAACAGATCCTGTTTGGGGACTTGTTCAGCTTGAGAGCAAAACACAACAGGTGAGAGCAATTCAGCAGCTGTCAACACAGTCCAGAATATAATCAGTCTATGAACGGAGCTGCAACAGGCCGCGTCCATTAGCTTTCTTTTACTTCACCCGCAAACTTTGCACTGGCTGAAGTTTGTGGGGTGTGATGAAGCATGTACAGTCAGGAAGCTGCATACTCGCTTGTGGTTAGTCATGATATGTGATTGAGAAATGTTACGGCGGATATTGAATAAGGAAATGTGCTGTGTTTCCATAGAAGGAGTTTGTCAGAACCAGTTATTGAGAAACCATCACAACAGCATTACGACAGCCTGGTTTGCCTCTACAAAATTAAAGAAAAAACAGAAGAATTTCTACAAATAACAAGAAGACAAACTGGCTGTAAACAATGATTGTTTTCTTTACAGTATAATCTCTTATGACTATTATTGATTCAGTGAAAAATTAACCAAAAACACTTCATATTACTTATTTTTGTCCAATCAACAGTCCAAAACGCAAACTATTCAATTTACAATCACATAAAATGACAATTCTATAATTCAATAAGTCAATTGACAGACAATTCATCTGCAACTGTTTTGATAGTCAATAAATCGTTTAAGTTGTATGTTTCTCACTCAAAACTGCCAATAATTCTCTGGTTGCGACTTCTCAAGTGTGAGCATTTGAATTTCTTTGGGTTTTGGACTGTTGGTGTAACAAAACAAGACATTTAAAAGGCATCGACTTGGGCTTCAACTATATGATTGTGGCACAAACATTGAAGAAAATGGAAGCAAATTATTGACAGACTGGTAAATAATCAAAATAATCGTTCTAGCCATACATTTTTGCTCAACAAATGACTTAAATGATCCATCTAATACTATAATTGTTGTCAATTAATTTTCTGTCAAATCAATTAATCGACTAATTCCTTCAGCACTACGACATTGCACAGATTAATCAAACCAGCAGCATTCATCCGTTTTGGGGTTTCAAAGACGTGCTTTAGAGACCTGCTCTTCTGTAAATGCTGCTCATCCACACTGTACTGCCATTTCCAGTTAGGAAGCTGATAGTTAAGCAAAGCGGCAGACACAGCCAGCAGGCCACTTGATAATATAGGTCACGGGACTGCAAGCCCCCAGCCAAGAGGTGACACTCCACATCAGCAACATACCAGACAGCCTGGTGTCATTTCAGTGGCACTTCCTACACAGATGCATTAAGAACACGTACACACTCTGAAATTGAATCACACACTAAACGTCTTAATGTGTTGCCAGAATTGTACCTCGGCTACGTCAATAAACGTGCACATTCACCAACTGCTTGTTTTATGATTGAGTTAAAATGCAAGGTGACACATTAACAGCTGAATGTTACATTCCGTCTCCGTCCTTCTATCAATAATTTATGTTGTTACCGCAGCAGCAGGATATCTCCAAAAACATTACGGAGTGAATTTATTGCTATGACTGCACATAATGGACTGAAAGTGGAGAAAAACAGACTTCTGCTGTGAAACTGTAGATAAGTCTGTTGCAGCAACCCGTGACTCCAGCAATCTCATTGAAATTAAAATCCATATCATTCAATTTATATGGATGCGGCGGTGCACTGGTGGAAAAATGGCATGCGAGGGATATTCCCAATTCTGTATATACGGTGATCCAATTAGAAACAATGCACCCTTAAATATTCCATATCACTCTGAACAATTCCCTGGGAGAAATCCACGCCACTGTGCGCGAACAGTGAGGGAGACATTCCTGACTGTCAGCGTTCTGCGGCGGAGCGTCTCATCGCTCGGACAGGACTTTCAGCTCGGGAGTCAAGGGGTGCACGCTCCTGGTGGGTGGGTGTCTTTCTATACTGTGGGTACACACATTCACACACACACACACACACACACACAGACACAGTGCCCCTGTCATGCTGGGAAGGTTTCAGCCTGCTGCCTCAGAGAGGTCAGCACTGGAATTCCTAAGGCCAAAGGAGATTAGTAATTGAGTAATGGACATGGTGACA